TTGGGTCAAAAACCGAGCGGTTTTTGTTGGGTTCTTGGGGGGTGTAACAGCTTGGATCCTTGGGGGGTGACATTTCTTGGATCCAAATTCGATGGAAGAATCTGTAAATGGGTCCGATTTTCCACAGAAAAAATTCTGATGAATTTCCGGTGGGGCTTCTTGGGGTAACATGCTGGGGGTACCCCCCATTTAGGAAACCTCTATACATGTATGTCCACTCATTTCGTGCCGGGATACGGATGTCACTCAACTGACCCTTGGGGACTCTTGAATTCCCAGGGTCCAATGGGATTTGCGCACCTGCATTTCACCTTTCTTTGCCGGTTCATGACTTGCTCCGCTGGCTCAACAAAGAAGTAATCCTGATATTATATATATATTTCGATATATTAATATAGTTCCTAAAAACAGAAGTGTCAACTAACATAAATCAAAAACAAGAGCCCAAATTTTGAGCAAACTGGAATGTATTTGTCTTCGTCAACTGATTAGCTATCAGATAGATGCTTTGCCGTTCGGTATTGCTTTGGCAAATTGGATTCATCCGTAGTTTCCCATTGTCAGAGGGCAAACAGGTCAGCCAACAGGGACGAGTGCCACCCGGCCATGGATGGAAGCCAAGGCGATCAGGGTACGAAGTTAGGAGATCGGGTGATCCTGCGTTTCATCCAGTTACTAAGTGGAGTGGTCCTCTACTGGAAATGTCTGGGCCCCTTGATGGAAATCCAAGCATCCAAACCTGCTTTTTTTCGTGGGGAAACAGGCAACCAAAGATAGGGATGGAACCAATTTGGAGCTGAAGGTAAACCATTCATTGGTAGATATGTGCAATGGGTTCTCAAATCTTAATGGGAAAGTGTCGCTATCATCCAAACGGGATGATACTGGTCTGGGTTCTGTCGAATGCGGTTCCCAAGCAAAAGTAAACGTCCCTGTCACCACTAAAATTAACTTATACCATTGTCATTTTGTACCGAGAAGCCCTGCGAGAGGGAACGCACAATCCCTCTAAAGTACACGGATTTTGGAAAACTACCAACTATGGCCACAATGGATCTCGACCTATAAGTTGAATCAAGAATACCATCCCCCCAATATAGCATAGATATCCATAGATAGTCCCAAATGTGTGCAAATTCTTGATTATGTATAATAATATATAATATACATACATACATATTATGGATATATATGCTTACCAGGGGTACCAAACGGGTGCCGTAGTGGGACCCCTTAGCCAAAAAACACAGTGGGACCCCTTATTTTTTTAGGTGGTTTAGAGGTAGTTTGGAGGGTTCTTGACCATGCATCTCAATTTTTGATCGCTGAGGGCCCAGGTTCACCCGCAATGGCCACACTGCAGCCTGGCCACCGGCTCATGTAGGAATGATCGACCAAAGGCATGGGCATCAGGTACAACACCTTCAAAGCTATGGAATGGTTGGCACTGAATGGCCCAAGTTAAAACAGATAGGTAATAGAGTTACTAGAGGTGCAAGGTACCCCAACACAATGTTAAGTATCATTAGAAGGAAATTCCGTCGTTGGACATCTGCCATGCCGAAGCGCAAGAGTGGCAGCAAGGATTTCAATGATGAGGCGAAGAGCCTTGTCCAACAACATATTTGGAGGGGTTCATCGGGAAAAAAACATCAACATTCATTTTTAAAAACCATGACTGTGAATAAGGATCATGGCAAAAGCGTTGATGGCCCGTATCGATGATAAATGTATTGACTGGATCCGACGATCTGGTGAGTTTTGGCCTGGCGGAGACATCCGCGTTAGTGCCAATCAGTGGCTGCGAGCAGCATTCCATGACAGCTCCCTCAAGAAAGTTCTACGTGAGAACTCTATGAGACAAGCCTTACACATTGTTGTCAACAAGAAAGGGCTTCGTCTTCAACTGAGTTGATACGAAATTGTTTACTTTTATTTCCTGGTGAGCACATGTTCTAACATCATCCCCTGCCAACAATAAGGTTTTGGAAAGTCTGCCAACAATAAGGTTATGGTATGGGACAATGCATTTTGGGGAATGACAACAGCTGGGCATAATCTTTTGGAAAATGATATTTTTACCGAGCAAAAAGGGTTCATCTCCATTTCAAACCATGAGCCTGCAAGCTCGTTGGGCAAGTTACGGTAAAATCCCAAACGTAATCTGGTAAATGTTTTGGGCTAGAAATCTGAGAAAATTCCAAATCTATCCAAATCCCAAAAAAGGCGCGTGTCAAACGTGTCAGTGGCGTGTCTCGGGTGGTTCCTTGGGGGTCCCACAGTGGGACCCCTTAGGCTAAGGGGTGCCGTAGTGGGACCCCTTAAAAAATGTCGGGGGTGCCCACCAAGTTCAGGGGGCGTGTCTTTTCGTGTCGTGAAATCTCATTTTTGGTGGTTTGGTCAAAAAAAACGATCGATCTATTCTGTGGCTCCAGCGGGTTTTTTCGGGAACAACCTAGTCGATCTAGTTCCAGCCATGCCGGATGGAAAAGAGTTTGAGGCTGGCTAACCCTATTGAGTAGGGAAAACTCTGTAAGTAGTATTTGTTTATATATATTATATATATATATGGCTGACTATCCCTGATGTTTCATGTTCATGTGAGCATATGCACATGCTCCACTATTTATATCACAACGAACACTGATGTAATACTTGGCTGGGGGGCTATGTCGGCTACTTTACCTGGGCAGGTGAGCGCTGAGAAGATGAGGGCACTCAAAGCTCAAACTGTTCCGACAGAGGCTTTCAAAAAGTTTGAAAAGAAAAGAAAACAAGCACTTGAAGATATCGAGCAAAACAGAGAGGAAACAGCACCATGTGAGGTTAGACCATATCGTCTACGACTGTGCTCCAGAAGTTTCTCCACTGAAACTAAGCTGCTATACAGATGAGGACGCGATGGGAAAACTGAAGAAATTAGCGATGATTTCATATCCCAACCAGATGGGACGACAAGTTCTGTCACGCTACGCTGCATATACATGCGTGCGATGGCTTCGAAGACTCACAGAATAAGCTAGAGTATATACTCTAAATGTCAAAGATGTCACTATGTATTTTTTTATGCTGTCATTTTGTGTACTGTGAGTTTTCGGCGACTGCATTTCCAACGACTCCCGTTGGCACCTTCTGAGCCTCTTTCCAAAATGTTGAGCTGGTCCAGCCGATGCCGCCGCAGCGCAGCCAGGTGTGAACTGGTGATTGATGGAATGGGGTTATTTGATAAGATTACCAAAGAATACCTACAAATATATCTTACTATATCCAGCACATATGTTTTTAACAGTTGGTATGACCTTGGGAATAAGGGTTCCCGTAGTGGGACCCCTTAAAGATATCAACTTCCAAAAACACAGTGGGGCCCCTTTGGCGGTGCTGGTATATATATATCATGATTTCTGGGGAGTGTTTGATATCAGGGCGGAAGGATTACTGGTGAAAGATGGAGAAGGGCACTCGAGAGACAGGGCACTGAATCCTTTCGGCTTGGTTCAAGATCAAAACCGCTCCTATGTGGAGACTATCAATCTCAATCTCTATTTTTGGAGACTATCCCAGTTTGGCACACTCTTTGGCCGAAAAATGATAGGACACTGCTCGTTCCAAGAGTCGCGTCAGTGGGGTATGGTCCATTCCAAGCCCCCCTGGCTCGAAGGTGAGATGGATCTGGGGCCTTTTGCCTCGATCATCGGCAAGTGGAACGACGTGAATCAATATGGTCACCTGGCACGATTCTCATTTGAGGAGTGCCTATAAGTATTATATTATATATATATCAGATATTGATAGATATTGTAAGTGTGAATTCTTTTTTCCCCCAAGGTTCATTGAAGATGGGGGTCCAAAAACACATCGTTTCCGAACGGCGATTTTGACTCATCCAATGTGGGAACCCCGGAGAACCAGTACTCGTACGATGGGGCTGACACAGGGTGCCGTTGAGCACAGAGATCATCCAATGGGTCTGAGTGGAGTAGATCATCCAATAGACCCACGACATGTTGATCTTTTTGCAAAGAACCAATGGCACCAATGGCACCAATGGCCTCCCGCTCCATACTTGCAAAGCCGCTGAGGATGTGTCAAGTCTTTGGGACCCCGATTTTCTCCATCCATCTACTCCGAAAATCAATAGCGAACTGGGGAATACTTAAAATGAACTGGATTTGGTTCAGGTTCGTTTTTGGCACCTTGAAATTATTCCATCCATGGACCACCCCACGACATCCACGACATCCACGACATTTACATGTGGCGGAGTTTGGGATCATCTTTGATTTCGATGGGCAGCTCTCGAACATTGATGATGATCAAAGGATGCAGTGTAGTAGGCCCAATTATGATAAACCATAAGCCATATATGATCCATAGATGTTTTTCATGTCGCGTCAGTTATCAACTGGAAAGGATTGGAAATCGTGATAGGTTTCGCTGCCATTCTTGACCCCCCTTTGATCGCCCAGGAAAAACCTATTTGGTGCGGGTGGAACGAAATAAACTGCAGGTGGTCATGATGGGTATGCATGGAAGGCGGGCCCTCAGGGTGATGGAAAATCATGCCTCGTTCATATCACCCCCTTTTTAATGGTCACAAATCAGCGTAAATCCCCGAAAATTAATTAACCATGGTTTCTGGGGGGTGTTTAATATTGCAAGAAATTGGAGAAGCTCAACCGACCAAGAATGGCTAGGTGATGAAGCGATACGATTGATGATACGATTGACAAGGAATCATGGGGATATCAACTGGGGGAGTTTCTAACCAGCAAGATAGGGCAAAAATGCAATGTTGTCTGTTCAGTAGTCCTAGTGGTTGTTAGCCCATGTGTCGCTTGGAGGTCAAGAAAATATACCATCTGGTTATTTAACATAGCCATGGAAAATATTTTTAATAGGTAAACCCAGGTAAACCATCTATAAATGGGCAATTTTCCATGGCTATGTTAAATAACCAGAGGGTAATGAGCAACAAGCGTTGGGTATGCACATCTGGGACCCAAAATGGGTTTGTATCTTAAGAAAGCGGGAGACTAAAATGATCCAACATTGTTGCCATGTTGAGGGGCACATGATCATCATAACATGCAACATTGGGTTACCCTATTTTTGGACACAATAATTTATACATATATATATATTAATATTATTATTATTATATTTATAATATATTTATAATATATTATGTTATATTATATTATATCATATCATATCAAATTATATCATATTATATTATATTATATCAATATAGTTTATATAATATATAACATAATTTACACGTAATATAATTAATATGATATTTATATATATATACATGATATGAATACAATATGTATATATATATATGTATATGTAAACATACTTAGGAATAGTTGACTCCTGATGAATACAAGTAGTCCAAAGGAACATCGAAGTTGGGGAAGAAATGGCACAGAAGGCTGAACCTACAAGGTGGTACCCCAGTTCTAGAGCGGTGAAGATAGTTATGGATGGTTTGTAAACCAAATTACCCTCTGGTAAATTAACATAGACCCTGAAAACAATCACTTTCTATTGGAAACTAGTCTTCCAACCCCCATCTGCCAGGGTCCATGTTAATTTACTGGAGGGTACATTTCACTTGGGGGGCACCGAGACCTATGTCATCCATTCTGGTGTGCGAACTGATCAGTTTCACCATGGCCCCAGGCTTCGCGATCGACCCAAGACGGTCGACTTGACGTATCGTCCAAATCCACCGGAACTCCTTTGGGAAAGACGTTCCTTAGCTGAGATGCTACGAGCCATGCTGTGGTCACTGCCTAGTTCCAGATTTTTTTGTTTGGTGGGTTTTGTGATCACACGAGATTGTGGTGTACCATCATGTACCATCCTTCTTTGCTTCGAATTTGTTTGGGGGATTCAAATCCCAATTCGTTGCCTGTCAGAAATATGATGAAATATGATCAAACACGATTTGGGGGATGAAACATATTGAAACCATTGAAACCAAGAAGCTTCACCAGGGGATGGAAGTTCCACCTCAAAACCATTCCAAAGATTCCACGTCTTGGTGAGTCACAGTGACTTCGAAACACAGTGCTTAGGATCACAGCGGTGTATGCAATTCAAGATCGCTGACATTATGTTATGTTGTAGATTGTAGTAGTTCTTTCAAACAACTGGTCGAAAGATGACTTGATACTGGATTTCCTGCATGGTGTAGTCTTGCCGAGATATGGGACCCTCACGGGCTGACGTCACCGGCTGATGATGACAAGTATGCGGGGTTGTGCCAAGAGATACCAACATTACTCAACATAATATATTATATTATATTATATTATATTATATTATATTATATTATATATATAGTATAATATGTGTTTTATATTATATATATAATATGATATAATATGTATTTTATATTAGATTTGGGCGTTCTTCAAATTATTCAGACATAATCCTAGCCCCTATTACATACCCCTCATATCGGATGGTCTCCCTTGGCCTCGCTGGGAAACATATGGCTTTTCTAGCCCCAAAGATGGCAAGTTTAGGTCACCGGCTGGATGGAAAGAAACTAATCCTTTGTTTTCTTGCTTTACATGAGGTTTAAGGCTTCTAGATGGATGAACACGATGAACACTTTCCAGAAAATCATATTCAACCATCTATGGAATAAGTTCACAAGGGTCAATGATATTCAATGATCATTTCCGGCTTGTCTCTACTTGGAAGTTTGGGTTTAAGAGATTTGTTCACGAAAACCCGATTTCCAAAAGAGCCATTGAATTGGTTTCCCAAAAATTATGTGGAAATCCTCTACGTTGTCGGATAAAATAAAATTCATGGTGTCCGATAGGTTTTCCCTACATCTCGATCATCTCAATTAAGGTAAGTTTTTTGTTGGAAAGTGCTCCATGTTTGGCGCTGTGTTTTTTCATTTCACTGGGACTGGGAAAAACAGAAAAACTGGTGATTTTTCCCATGGCTTTCCCATATGTTTCCTGTCTCAAAAATTGCCATGAAACTAACTGCTGGAGCCATTGAATCGATCGCTAAGGCTATAGCCTGAAACAGGCGGATTTCAGCTTGGTGGAAATCAGGCGGCCTGGATCAGCCGACCACCTGTTTTTTGGGATATCCGACCACGTGTCCTGGGTGTCCTGGGATTCTGGATATTCTGGGAAAGCCTCGTAACTTATGGCGATGTTCAATGATTTTCATAGGGAAGATGAGGTTCTGATTTCTTATTACCCTCTGGTAAACTGTCCCATAACTATGGAAAATCACCATTTTTCATGGGAAAATCACCATTTTTCATGGGAAAATCCCACTATTTCTATAGCCATGGCTTCAATAGCGAAGTCATAAAGTCATAACCAGAGGGTCCATAGGGGTCATGGGATGGGAGCTGGGTAAATTATAACGACCTGGAAATCCATGGGTTTTTATTTGGGGAATCCAAATCCAAATCCTTGAGCTGGAACAGGCTGACGAAGGCCTAGGTCCAGTGGGTTGTGTTTATGCGTCCAGAGGGACGGTAGCGGAGACATGGTTGTCCCAGTGCTGTGCGACATGTTGAGCCCACTGCAGGGCGCGCTCTGCCCAGTTGTGTGCTTGCTGCTGCGTGATGAGCCAAGGTTGTAGTCGCTGCAAGTCGGAGTGGAGGGCCGTGCTGGCCGCGGTGTCCGCCCGACGGTTGAGTTCGCGAAGTGTTGCTGCATCCCCATGGGTCGGTGCCCAGGTTGGATGTCGGTCGTGTGCCGGTGTCCACTGCAGGATCAGGTGGATCCGTCGTCGCTGTAGGTTGTGCCGCTGCTGATGGTACTGTGACCAGCACCGTGTGCGTTGTGTCGGTTCTGGCCCTTGCAAGTAGTCAATGGCTGACTTGCAGTCCGTGGCTACGATGATTGTGTGCTGTGTGTCCGATCCTCCAAGATCTGGCAGGTTGTGGATGCTGTGTGTCAGGAGGAGAATGGCGGTGAGTTCTGCCATGAACGGCGTTGTATCTTCACCCTGAATTGCTTCAGCGATGGAGTCAGAGGGAGTGGCGATGGCCCAAGCGGCGCATCCATGTTTTGCTCCCCCGTCTGTGGCTACGGTGAGTGGTTGGTGTTGTGATCGTGCTGTCGTGAAGGCCGTGTCGATGATCTGTAGTAGTCGTGCTGGTGGTGTGGGTGTCAGCCCTGTTGGGTGGAGTGGTGTGATCGGCTTCGGGGCCGTGCTGGTGATGAGACGTTCTTCACAAGTGTTGCGCGGCGCCCGTGGTGCGGGTGGCACGCCTGGTTGGTGTTGTGGTATGGCTGTGCACACCCAGAGTAGGTGTGCCATGCTTGGCTCTGGTTTGCCGCAGAGGCACGGTGGCCTGCTGGTGTTGTGTCTGGCTGCTTGGTGCCAGGCGCTGGTGCCGGTGGCGATGTAGGTTTGTCGCTGTGGTGTGCTGGTGGTCGTGTATGGCATGCTGCGGCCAATGCGGTGTGCTGTCACGACCGGGAGATGTGTAGGATCTGGTGCTGGAAGCCGCAAGCCGATGGCGTAGGAGTCGTGTTGTCGTCGTCGTGGTTTCCAGAGGCGTTCCTCTTGTTTGTACATGGTGGTGAGCCAGTGGTCGTGTTGCCAGTCTCGGATGGTGTTGTGTCCATCCCATGCTAGGCGGATGGTGCGGTTGCGTCCCAGGTGGTCGCGCCGGTGTAGTGTGTTGGTGGTTGCGTTCCAGTTGATGTTGTTTGTCTGAAGGGCCTGTCGTATGGCCGGTATGTGTTGCAGGTGCTGCGGTGTGTGCAGCCACTGGCGGATGTGCTGTAGCCACGGGTTGGTTGTGTTGCTGAGCTTGGCGATCTTGGCCGTGAACTGCAAGGCAAGGTGTTGGATGGCGAACCTGGGGTCGTCGTCTGGCCGGAGTTCGGCGGTCCAGATGTTGTGTCGTGAGGCCCCCCGTGGTGTCCAGTGCTTGATGGTGTGCATCGCCGTGTTGTGTATGCTGCGGAGCTGTAGTGCTGGTAGGTGGGCAAAGGGTCCGGCCCATGTGATGCACGATAGTGCCATGCTGCAGTGTAGTTGTTGCCTTCGTGGGAGCTGGCGGCTGGCGTGTCTGATGCGGTGTGCCCGGCGTGTGTATTTAGCCACTGTGCTTTCGGCCAAGCCTATGTGGCGTTGCTGCAGGTCGTAGGTGAGGCCGAGCAAGTTGAAAGTAGTGGTGGCTTGTGGGTAGCCTTCTGGTGTGAGTGAGTCCAGGATAGGCTGTAGTTCCGGTGTTGCGACGGCCAGTTGTGTTTTTGCCCTGTTTTCTTTGAAGCCGAGTTGTGCATCAATGCTTTGGGAGGTCTCCAGGAAGGTGGCCATGGTTGTGCAGGCGTCGGGGCCTGTAATCCAGGCGCTGCGATCGTCGAGGAATATGCCTGCGTGGTGCTGGGGGTGTTGCTGTCGCATGTGTTGCTGCCAAAGTGCCATGGTAGTTGCCAGCAGCATTGGTGAGAACGGGCATCCTTGCAGTAGGCCGTGTTTGCTGGTGCGCCACTCGGGGTGCATGGCTCCGTGGAAAAGGAAGATGCGTTTGTTGGTGCGGTAGAATGTGAGGAGAAGTTGTGTAATCTGCTGTGGTGCTCCGTAATGTGTGAAGAGCGCGAGGGCTTGTGGGATGTGGATTGAATCGAATGCTTTGCTCAGATCCTGGGAGAGGAAGACGAAATCTTCGTGGTCGCTGTCTTGGAGGTCATGAAAGATTCTGGCGTGAAGGTATGTTGCATCACGCTGGGGCAGGCCTCCGCAGAGTTCCGGGGGTGCCCATTGGTGTGTCCAGGGTGCCAGGTGCTTAACCAGCGCAGATGCTCCTAGCCGCCAAAGGATGCTGGTGATGCTGATGGGTCGTGTGCCCCCGGATGGTTTGTTGAGCAGGACAACGACTGTTTGGTTCCAGGCGGCTGGTATTCGTGCTGTGTGTAGGATGGTGTTCCAGAGTTCGGCTAAGGCTTGCCACCAAGTGGGTGGTAGTTGGAGGAGTGCGTCGGCGGTCCAGTGGTCGCCGCCTCCCGCTTTGCCTTTGGTGCGTGTGGCTGCACGGTGGAGCTGTTGTGCGGTGAGCTGCGGCGGTGGTTGCTGTGGGTTTGGGGCGCTGGTAGGGAGCGTGTGTTGTAGCGCCGCCAGTTGGCTTGTGTATGTGTGCTGCCACTCGTCGTGGAGGGTGCCGTGTTGGTCTGCCGGGTGTGGTGTGTCCCAGACTGTAGTCCAGGCGTTGGCTTCCTGCGCGACCTGTTGCTGTGGGTGGAGCGCGGTGTGTGTGGTGGTCGTAGTTGTGGTTGTGCTAGGCGCGGTGTTTGGGTCTGTCGGGGGTTGTTTGACCCATCGGCGTTGTCGCTTGAGGTCGTTTTCCATGTTGTTCATCCACCGGTGCAGTCGTAGGTTGCGTTGGTGCTCGTCCTCCTCGTCGATGGCTGCTTGTGTGGTGGAGAGCAGTGTGTGGATGTCGGCGGCGGCGGCAATGTCCGGGTAGATGTGCTGGAGGCTTTGTGTGCGTCGTGCCAGGGCTCTGGCGGTGTCAACTGTGGGTCGTCGGATGTGTTCGCGCACAGTGCGTTGTAGCCGGAGAAGGCGGCGGTGTTTTGTGCTTTGTTGCTTGGGCGCGTGTTTGGAGATTTGTTGCTGTTGCTGCGGTTGCCAGGGTCGCGCGCGGTGATGTCCGTGGCCGTCAGGTCCCAAGAGATATTCTGCTGTGTTGCTGAGGAGTTCCCACGCGCTATTGGTGTCTCCGTTATGGAGATGTTGGTGGTAGCTGCTGGGTTGCCAAATGTCAAGAAATGCCTGGTCGGTGGGGGCTCGGGTGGGGTCGATGGGCCAGAAAGTTGGTCGGCGGTGTGCGGCTGGCTCCGGTCCCTGTGGGAACTGGTAGATGATCAGGTCGTGGTCGCGTGGTCCCGGAGCTTGTTGCTTGCGCTGGGGGTGTGTGCGTGGTCCGAGGAGTGCGTAGTCGATGCACCGTTGGCTGTGTTTCCGGGTGGGTGTCCAGTTGTTGAAGTAGGTGTTGCTGTCCGTGGCGATGCCGTTGGCCAGGATATGCGCGACAGCTCCCTCGCTGGCTATGGTGTTCAGGTCGCCGATGAGCACGAAGTCCTCACCGGTGCTGCGTAGTGTTGTGGCTGTGTGTTGGATGATGTGGTCGCGGCTGGCGGTGTTTGTGGGGGGCGCATAAACGTTGGCGATGTAGAGTGGCCTGTTGTTGTGGCGGTGCAGCTGGATGTATTGGACCAAGGTGGGGTCGTGAGTTTGCTGCTGCTGCTCTTGCGGTGGTTCCCAAACTGCGAAGTGGCCTCGGATGAACAGGGCGACACGGATGTGGTGGTTGTGCGGTTCCCCCCAGAGAACCTGGTATCCGTGTTGAGCTGCAGTGCGTGTGTATTCAGCCGCGGTTGTGGTGTGGATGGTTGCCTCTTGGATGGCGAGGCAATCGATGTTGTGGTGCTGAAGGAGAGAGCATGTCTCGTGCCATGTGTGACCCAGGTGCTGGGTGTTGAGCGTGCCGATTGTGAGTGGTGTTGTTGCGGTCATTGCGGGGGTGTTTGTCCCGTGTGGGTGGGCGCGCCGGCCAGTGTGGTTTGCAATGTGTCTGCTGCTGCGTTCAAGTGTTTGGTGATCTCTGCTTTGGTGTACTTGGCACACTTTTGCGGTGCGGTGGCTTGGCGTCGGAGCTGCTGAATGTACGTGGCTCGTGCCGTGTGAGATTTCTTGGTGGTGTAGCCTTGGCACTGCTGCGCGAGGAAGGTTCGCAGGCGTGTCTCTGCTATTTTGCTGCAGTGCCGGCACGTCCAGCGTCGCGAGATTCTGTATTGTTTGGTCTTCTTGTGGAACCTGGGGAGGTCGAAGGATGTCATGCTGTGGCCCCCGTTGTCTGCTTTGATGGTCCGCAATGCTGTTGCCAGTTTTGCCGCCCTCATTGGCCTTGTTTGCGTAGAGCCCTGTGCGCCGGCGTCCCCATTTGCGGCGGTCTGTCTCTTTGTGTTTTGCTTTCGCGTGTGCCCACAGCGCGTCCCTGGCTTTCTTGGGATGGTAGTGGTTGGCTGCTTGCTGTGGCACTCCTGCTGAGCACTTGTCGCAATGCCATCCCGGGGCCGTGGCAGCGAGTGTGGGGACGACGGGTGGGAGTTTGGGGGCTTTGCCGTGGCCGTGTAAGCGTTCCTGCGTCCTGGCCTCTGGGTGGCATGCGGTGAGGTGCTTGCTTTTGAGGTTGTAGGCGACTCTGAGCATGGTGTCACGCTGCTGGCGTGTGGTTGTCGCGGCGATCGCCTGGGATGTCTTGAAAGGGCACAGAGGGCATTGCCATGCTATGCTGCCGTTTGCGTGGAAGTTGCTGTTGTTGGCCCCCCTGGTGGTGCGGAGGACTCGCTTGCGCATGGCGTTGTGCCACGGGGTTGTTTCCGGTGTGTGCTGTGCTGCGGCTGGCAGGTCACTGGCGATGTGATCGAGGTCGTCGAGATCTGCTGCTGCTGTGGCTTGAGTGCGGTCGCTGGTGAAGACCGTGGCTGTGATGGCTGGTGCTGCCGCGGTGTGTGTGGCCTGGCTGGTCCATACGGTGCGTGTGGATTGTGCGCCGCCGCGAAGTCCTTGTTTGGGTTTGCCTCGCTGGGTGGTGATGGCTTCGGGGATGTTGTCGCTTGGTCGAAGGTAGTCGTAGTGTGTGCCCGTGTACCACAAAATGATGTTGCCCGTGGCTTTGCGGCTGTCGTGGAAGCACATGATTTCTTCGGATGCTTTCTCTGGGATGATGAAGATGCGTTTGTTGTAGTGTCGGGCGGCTGCGGTGAGTTCCAGATATCCGCCCCATGCGGTGTGTTTCTGCATGTGGTCGATGTATGCGGCGAAGGAAGGTGCTTTGCTGTCGTCGGGCATGAGCCCATCCCAGAGGTCGATGTATGTGTCTGTGTGCTTGTGGATGTGGGCCAATGTTTCTGCTCGGGTTTGTATGCCCAGGATTTCCTTGCCCGTGCTGTCGGTAAGGGCTTGGGCGATGCTGTGAAAGAGGCAGCTGCCGTCGGCCGGCATGGCGACCTGGGTGAGGCCGTCTGGGACGGGGCGGCTGGCAACGCACTGTTTCTTCTGGGGTTGCTCGCTGGGCTTGTTTGCGGCGTCTGGGTCGGGTATCTCGACTGTGATGGTGCCTTTGCTTGTGCCTGCGTGTGTGCCCCGTGGTTTTGGGGGGGCATGCCATTGCATGGTGGATGTGCCAGCTGCGGGCAGGTTCTGCTTTGCGGGTTGGGGGTGCGAGCTTGGCCCAGAGCTCGTAGATCTCGTCGTCGATGGTGGCGAAGATGGGGTGGAGGTCAAGGTCAGCTGCTGATGTGGCGGTGAACCACCATGTGGTGACCTTGCCCCGGACCTGTTTCCTGATGATGTGGGTGTCGGTGAATGCTGGCTGGCTGCTGATGAGTTGTTCGACTGTGTGTTGGTTCCAGGCACGGGGTGCTTGGTCAAGCTGCCATGTCCGGGTCTTGTCGGTGCTGGCTTCAGTGGCGACGCGGGCTCCAAGTCCTCGGGCGCTTCGGGCCAGGCCCCATTTGTGGCCTTTGTCAAGGAGTCGTTGGATGTAGTCGTCTGCTGTGTCTGTCGGTTGCCATTTCTCCCAGGCCACCTTGATTGGGGGGAGGGGATGGTGCCAGTGGATGGGTTCAACGAAGATGCCTTGTTGGCCGGACCGGCCCAGGATGGTGTCTGGCGCGTCGGACTGGCCGAACGTGCCTTCGACCCGGATGAGGCCGATGATGCTTTTGTGGGGGCCCTGTGCGTGTTGCTTCCAGCCCCACGTGTCCTGGATGGCTGCGGCCGCGGTGGTGGGGAGTGTTTGGATCCAGTCTCCCAATGCTTTGCGGGGGCGTGCCAGTGCTGTGGTCCGTGTTTTGTTGCTGATGTATTGCTCGTCGAAGATGACGCGGAGTGTTTCGGTGTGTTTCGTGGTGGTGGTGATGGCCTGTTGTGTGCAGCGGAGCAGGGCGGGCTCACGTTGTCCCTGGTCGACCAGCTTGTGGCAGCGGACGCGCTGGAGGACTGGCTTGGTCCCACACTGGCCGGGGATGGTGGTTGTGCCCGTGGCGAGGCGCCAAATGAGCCAAACTGCTTTGGGTGTAGTGTTGTTGAGCATTGCTGCTGCTGCCTGACCCTGGTCTTCGTCAGCGCATTGGATGACTGCGCGGAAGGGGCTGCCGTCGGTATGCTTGCTGAGTGCTGTGCCCAAGTCGTTGTATTGGATGATGGGGTCGGACCAGTCCTTGCTGCGTAGGGTCCATTGGTCCAGGTTGGGGCGGCGGCGGGTAACGGTGACCCAGTCCCGGCCGTGGACCTCATCTGCTGTGATTGGGTGTTGGGGTGCTTGGGTGTGTTGCCACTGCTGTGGCTCTGTGCTGGTTGGGCCCTTGCCCGGTGTATGGTGCCCTGGGGGGGGCTCTGTGCTCGGGGCCGGGATTGCCCCTGCCCCCTTGCCGGGTGTGTGGTGCCAGTTGTCTGGCTCTGTGCTGGTGCGTTTGCCCTTTGCTTGCTTGGGCTGCTTTGGTTTTGGTGTGGGCGGCTCCGTGGTGCTGTTGACCAGGCTGCCCACCATTTTTGCCAGGGATGCTGCTTGTGGGATCCCTGGCGCCAAAAGTTGCATTAATTGGAGCAAAAGGCTCATGATGGCTCGGAGTGTGTCATCAGACTGATGCTGCTGGTGGTGCTGCTGATGCCTTTTCTGGAAACGTCTGCGTGCCGTGGTGCGGCTGCCATGTGGTCCCGGGTGGGATGCCTCGCCGATGCGTTGGCCTATGTGGCAGTCGTGCTGGTGTTCCCTTGTGGGGTGCTTGCAGTCTGCTGCGGGCGTTGGAATCACAGTTGGTGTGTCCCGGAGCTTCGTCCCCCCCCCAGGAGGGGGGCCCGCTGTCGCCACTTGGAGGCGTCCGGGTCGGGGAGCACCTCTGTCCCAGGGCTCGCACCGACAGTTTTTTTTTATTTGGGGGATCATCCCCTTAAATGGCCGCACTATTCAGGTTTGTGAATTATTTCTAAATATGCCCAGATTGATGGAGAACTCATACTTCAATTGATTCAAGTGTGAGTTTTGAAAGCTACGAACATCAACTCCATCCCGGCCTACTATGAAAAGGTAGAGATCTCCCTGCCCAACATGTAACAAGGTACCCCCAAATCCATTGGAGTTTATTGGCATTTTCGTGTTTAAGTTGGTACGTTGTCAAACACACCAACTGCATATACTTGGTTCCCATTGTATCCCCGTTGTCTATTGGCTACCATAAGCCGAGTATCAATCTAGTTTTATGTAGTGTTGTTGTACATATATATATATATATATACAACTATATATATATATAATTAATGTGATATACCTATGGCCCCGTACCCTCAGTTTGTGGCAATGTAGGAAAAATAGTGATGAACGACTGGATCTAGGGATTTTAAAATGTACTGTTTTCAGACAAATCCATCATATTCCTACAAAATATATCCCCATTATATCTCTATTATACCTCCATGTTGGCCAAAACCCATGTTTGTTGGAATATGGAATATATTTTGACTATACCCATCATGGGTTTTGTTTTGTTGGCCAAAACCCATGTTTGATGGATCTCTTTCGAACCAACGTAACAATACCTTCTTCTGAGATGTCCATCCTCATGGTCAGACACACCAAATGGACATAGTCACATAGTCCTATAAATTATATCTCCCATATTTTGCCCAGTATAGTTGGCAACCCCAAAACAAACTATATGAGCAAATTGGGAGATATACCTTACATATTTACAAATTTGGCTTATGATATGACCCAGCCCAAAACTATATGACAAATGAGATCAGATGAGATGAACTGAGTCTTCATTAGTCAGTCCCTTCCATCTTTAAGGGATAATGGTAACCCGTAACCGGAAACCATCGATTTTCCCATTAAGATCATGGGGCTTTCCGGATTCAATGTCCCTTACCCTCTGGAAAACTAACATAGCTATGGAAAATGATAGGAAAATCAAGCTATGTAACAAATTACCAGAGGGTTTTTCCCAATCCACTGATTCAGGTGGCGCTTCATGAATGGAGGCCAGGCGAACCACTGGAAGCGCGCCAGCCCCGCCCCGGTGGCCCCGGTCCCAACGCCTCCGCCGGTGCCGCCGCCGCTGCGAAGCCCACCGGTGCGGCCGCCGCCGTCCTCGGCGCCGGTGAAACGGAGCCGTAGCCGAAGCCCACGAGGAGGTGGAGTTCTGGATGGATGGGTGCTTTAGTACAACTTATTAATAGAATGTATAGTTATAATATTAGATTGAATCTAGTTATAACACATGAATTGATGATATAGACTAATATAGATTGTATAGTTATTTTAGCCGGCATCTAGCCATCTATTGTATGGTTTTGCTAGAAATGGGTATTATTGGGCCAAGGATGAAGCTAAAACTTTGGATGGGTAGTACAACACAGAGATGAATATTCGCGAATATACTCGGGGGTTCATAATGAATTATAATGGGATATAGTGATAATAATGAAGATATGAAAGGGTCCGCTGGATATGTTGGTTGGTTTATGTTCACCCATCTACAGCGTATATATATATATATATAAACATGCCACACACCCAAACATTGGCCTCGCCATGAGCCAACTTACCTGTCTCAGAGGCCCTTCTGGAGCAAACCATCTTTCAGTCTCTTTCAGTGCGGTGAGTGAGGAATCACCATAAATCACCATTCAAATCCATTAAATCACCATAAATCACCATTCAAATCCCTTAAATCACCATAAATCAACATTCAAATCCATTAAATCACCATAAATCACCATTCAAATCCATTAAATCACCATAAATCACCATTAAAATCCATTAAATCACCATAAATCACCATTAAAATCCATTAAATCACCATAAATCACCATTAAAATCCATTAAATCACCATTAAAATCACCATTAAAATCCATTAAATCACCATAAATCACCATTAAAATCCATTAAATCACCATAAATCACCATTAAAATCCATTAAATCACCATTAAAATCACCATTAAAATCCATTAAATCACCATTAAAATCACCAATGGAATGATGGAGGATTTCACTTAAACGGTGGACCCTGGGAGGATTTCACGCTGATCCGGTAAATCGTGACATGTTTTTTCTTCACCACCAGCGCATATAATATGATACAACTACTGTAATGAAAATATTGATCAACTATATAGTACATATATAGTACATATATATATATGCAATATACTACAAAAAAAATAGCAATTGAAATCTGAATCCAGAAAATATGCAGCTGAAACTACATTGTCCATCCCTTAATTTGCTTAAAGTCTGTGCGTTTCTTTTGCACCCCACAGAAATGGCATGATTGTGACCCCACTTGACCAGCATCAATTCTTGCCTTAGGAATCTACTCATTTTTTTTCATCTCGAGATTCAGAACACTTCTCCCAGTGTTTGTGGGTCACCCGGGTCACCCGTATCAGAACTACTTGAAGGATCATCCCACTTGGCAAACTGGCAAACGATTAACCAGGGGGCCCCAAAGTGGGATGATCCTCCAACAAAAGGTTGTACGAATAACCCTGTAAAAATGGGGGGTTGCCCCTATAGATAGATCAAAATAGATCAACATGATGACACGTTGCAAAAAATGACTCAAAAAAAAAGTGATGCCTTCCCTATTCAATCTGTGCATAAGTAGGGGAAAATTTTATGGGTGCCAACCCAGTGCCTTCACAGAAATCACCTCATTCCCACGGCGCAGGCGATGGTTTGGCCTCGCCCGTGCCACCGCCGGACGACGACGTTATCGACGAGGCCGACCCGGCGGAGCCGGAGAACGAGGCGGAAAACGGCGATGAGGTCGAGAACGACCATGGCATGGAGGAAGATCCAAACCACAAGGCCTGGTGGCCTGGTGGGACAGGCATTTTTTCGCGGTGTTTTTTGTTGCCACCGGTCTGTGGTCTCGAAGGTGGGGGGTTGGAGTTCTATGGTTTTCAGACTGAAATGAAACACACCGGGTGTATCCAGTAATTCTAATTCTGATGCCATTGGGAAAATACTTAAGCGTGGAAAAGCCCACATATTGAAGCTCAGACTTGCCTGCCCCGGACGGGTGCTGAAGACACCTCTAGACTGTCATGAAACTGAAGAATGCCAAACATGCAAGGTCGGGGAAAATTAATTACTGTTTGTCTATTTTTGTCATAGAGTAGAAATATTAATATTGATTAAAGATAGATGCAGCAAGGATTGCTATTCGCATTACTATTCCATAGCGACCATGGCAAGCTGACTTTCCGCGGCGGGATTGAAATCCACCAATGGCTAACACAATGGCAAAACCTGTGTTCTCTTGAACTTATTTATCCATTGAGTATCATTGAATCCCCATTTATAGTTCAGTTACGTATGTTGAATGGTCCCTTTACTTTGAAATGTTATATGAAAGGGTATAAACTCATGTACACGTGTTCATGTGGTAAACCCAAACATAAACCGTCATACCTTTGGGGGATGGTTTTTATACCACCCATTTATAGTGGTTTTGGGGATTATTGGTGGCCAAACTCAGGTTTTATCCAAGTTGGAGCCCTCAAAGGGGTCACCGGGTCTCTGCAGACGTCCTTTTCCTGATGGTTGGTTCATTCAACCACAGCCAATTGGGTCAATGACGCTTCAAAATATGTGTTCTCAAAAATAGGGGACCGAGGACCTCAATAATCATCCAGCATGATGAATTCTCAGTTTGGAACCATTGAATTTGTGGGGTCCCAATTTTGAGAAAAGATAGAAAAGCCCAAATGATAACCCCTTGAAACAAATGAATGATGATCAATGGTACACCAGACGGCCCCGCAACACTTCCCAAGCCACTGTTGGAGTTGGTTATATCCCCAGTACTGTATATCCCCATTATGCATATATATTATATTTAGAGCAACCATTAAAAAAACTAACTCTTGTAATCAAATATGGTGTTCTGGAAATCCATCCGTTTACAGACAACTGTCCAGCTATAAGCCTTTATTATTTAGTTTGGGGATGTCCCGGGAAATAGCCAAGCAACTGCCCATGCTGCGCCCATTCTGCACAGAAGTGTTTATGAAGAATTTTAATAAATGTCACTAAAGGTAAATAGTTTCTCTATCTAGAAAATTGTCAAATTACTGTAGAGGCAAGAATTACTTGCGATCGTAAAGATAATATATCCTACTTACTATGTACTATGCACACATAGAATCACATAGTCATATCCATAATTTATACATAAATTATAGATACATACATGAACGAATACATAATATATATATATATATATACATGTGTGTGTCTATATATGTGTCTATATATGTGTCTGTATGTGTGTCTGTATGTGTATATATATAATAATAATACGTATTATATATATATATGTTTGTGTCTACTATATAGTGTTGTTTTGGCTATCCTGCAGCACCTAAACCGGTTTTCTTCTTCTTTTTTCTTGTATGTATATAGATATATGTATATATACATATACGTATGTATTGTTATATCCTGTGGGTATGTCCCCACTACATCCCCAGAAACTGAAATAGCCAGTTACCATCCATATTTGTGACCTATCCCGATAATAGATATGATATATATATATACATACATACATATCCCCATTAAACTGATGTTGAACACACCCAATCATATATATATATATATAATGTGTATATATACATACATACATATATATATATGTATATATATATGGCATATATAATGAATAAATAAATAAATAGATAGATAGATAGATATCTAATATAAATATATATTAATAGATATAAGTGTAGATGTAATATAAATAATGTGTATATATTACATCTACGATCATCTAAGTTACTGTTTAACCGCCAGGACACCGATTTGCAGATGGACCGCCGGGAGGTCCAGGTCGATGTCCTGCTCCTCGGCCTTCTTTCGCTGGGATTTCAGCAACCAAAATGGGGATTTCACCAGGTTTCAATGGGAGATTTCACCCAGAAAAATGGGAAAATTTATCAAAACCTGAGGATTTCAGCAGAAAAGAGAATTGTATGTCAGTGGAAGATGTTTCAAAATGAGGATTTCACAACGGCAAAAAATAGTTGTGGATTAATGTGAGAGCATTTTCATTCTGATTTCATCAACAAACCAGAAATTGATGTCACCGATTTGATCGAAAATCTTCGCGGAAATTCGCGTTTCCACAACTGGGAAAAAAACCTCTGCAGAAACGAGAACGTCATTCAGAAAAAATCGGGAGGAACCATGCAATTTGCGTGCAAAAACCGTGGATAGCCTCCGGAAATCAAAGATGGCAATGGAAAATCCCCCATTCAATTGAAGATTTTCCCATTTGAAACCGCCATTTATAGTGGATTTCCCATTGCCACATTTGATTACCTGAGGGTAGACCGACTGGTTTTGATGCTACCCTGCCTGGGCAGACTGCAATGGTCGGTGAAAAAGGGTCACTTAAGATTTTCGCCGAGGAATAACTATGTGCCATCCTACTTAAAATGGTTTTGTTGAAATGACAAATGGATATTTTGAGGACTTAAGAGAACTATATGGGGGTTTCCATAAATGGTGTACCCCATAGCTGGATGATTTATTTCATGGAAAATCCTATGAAAATAATGAATGATTTGGAGGTACACCTATTTTAGGAAACCCACATATATATATATATATGTCGTCCCACTAGGGTCACTTCAAATGTATCAGAATCAATTTTTACGGCCCTCACCGCATTTTTTTCACGCGAAAAAGTGTAAAAGGAACGGGGACTCCAACCAGAAAAATTGGTATATAGTCATATACATATATACATATGATTTATATCATAAACAATGATGAGATACCATGTATAGCCTGTATAGCCATCAAATGTTGTTTTTTTCTTTCTGGTTTCAATAATTATTGTTTACATTCAACCCACATGATATGTTTGGAAAGATCAACCCGTCCTGGCTATGGGGGCAATCCTCCCGGGTCTTCAGCCGTGGATAGATCGGATAGGGTTCGCACCAAAAAATCGATTATATACTTAATCCCAAATCTCTCCACATTTTGGCATACCCATATTCAGATTTACCAGATAATTGAATATGTTCCCAGAACTGGTTTACAGTATGAAGGACTGGAGGGAATACTTAAGGAGGAAGAAAACACATCGGTTCATTTATAGTTCCATTGTATCAAGCCAATGACATGTGGAGTTGTCCGATTCGGGAATGAGACCCACGCGGTGCACCCTGAGAAATTGTGAGGCTCCACTGGTCACATATGGTTCTCTCAAAATGTTGGAACCCAAGCTCATGGCTTCAAGCCTTATTTTCCCATGACCCAATTGACCCAATGGCCATAGAATATCATAAGATATCATGAAATGGGGTATCCAAAGCATTTTGAGAGAAATCCAAGTGTGCCATGGTAACTATAGGGGTTTGATTTATCCTATGTAACTTGACCCTAGCACAAATCAATTCGATCAACAGTTGTGATGCTTCAATCAGCCAAGTTTTCATGGCGAAATTCCAATGTTTGATGGTAAAACCCACATGTTCCCCAATTCTCATGTGGTTAAATCCACATGTTCCAAATTTCGATCCTTAAATGTTGTACCCAGGTTGTCCAATTGGAAGCCTCATACACATTGCTAAGGACCTGTGGTTTGAGAGATCGCGAAAAATGTGAAGAGGAGGCCAGTCTGTTCGTAGAGGCTGTGACATTTTGACCAAAACGTTGGAATTTCACAATCAACATTAAACATGAAAAAGTGCCTATCAAAACTTGAGATTGAAGTGACTTGAGTGGTGTCAAATTAGTTTGGATACCCCAGTGTATGGCAATTTTAACTTAGAAAATGAGAACAAAGCATGGAACATGGAATGGGGTTCCAAATCTCGAGACAATCTCATGCACATAGTGCAAGTGAATAAATAGCAATTTGGCCAGAGAATATAGATTAAAGCAGCTTCTGAACGGGTGGTGCAGCTTGAGGGATATCATCCACCAGTCCTCTCGGATAGAACAAAAAGTTGTAGCACCGTATATTTTTCTGGTTCTAGCATGTTCTACCCGTAATTGAGGGAGCCACACCACCTTCATGAAGGTTACTTGGGTTGCAGCTGCTCGTGGGTTGCACCACCCAGCTTTGATGGAATGATACGCACTGATGGAGAAACAGCCAACGACATTATGATTTCATGATGTTGCTCAAACTGGTAGATGTATGATGATTTGGGATTTCAGAAATCTTGAATTATTGTCCAATGCGTTTCATATGCATAAGACGATCAATATCTATGAAATATCTACAAACCTTCGGCAGATCATGGGAATTGGTTTTTGGGGAATCATTCCAAACAGGATTTCCAGTTTAGAATGGAAATTTGCCCAATATAGAGATATCCCACATTTGGATTTTGCTGTTGTCAATATTTGCATGATCCACATGATAGTTGCCTACATTCGGATTGCTCATGCAGTGTA